GTATCTAGGTCAATCATATTCACATGTTACCATCTTGTCCCTGAAACCAGGTTACAGTGATCTAAAAAGTCACTGTAACTCCTAAAGCCAATATCAGTACACATATCTGTCATCACAGAGGTGCAGATGCAATTTAAAGAGGGGGGAAAATAGCACTCAGTATGGTTTGATTGGAAGAGACAAGGTATTTAATGCCAAAAAAGATGGAGAAAAATTGCAGAATACCCTAAGGGCAGGGGTGTATAGTAAAGAAGTACAATTACTTTGCTACAGCAATTAAAACTGGGCTTCCAGTTATTTACTGAAACATTTTAGTCCAGGAAAAGTGTTCAGATTAGTTAAATTCTCAACATTTTTGATAAGCTTATTGTAAAACTAAATTATTGTTTAACAATCTCCACTACAGTTTCTGACTGAGCTAGTTTTCAACACTGTTCCATAGTTTGAGCAGTAACTTATGTGACCACTCAGGAAGTCGTTTTTTTGGTGCAACAAAACTTGTGAATTTATACCGTTTCAAAAAGTAACAGTCTATTAACTAGATAATGCGAATGTACACTCACCGGCCACTTTATTAGGTACACCACGCTAGTAACGGGTTGGACCCCCTTTTGCCTTCAGAACTGCCTCAATTCTTCGTGGCATAGATTCAACAAGGTGCTGGAAGCATTCCTCRGAGATTTTGGTCCATATYGACATGATGGCATCACAMAGTTGCCGCAGATTTGTCGGCTGCACATCCATGATGCGAATCTCCCGTTCCACCACATCCCAAAGATGCTCTATTGGATTGAGATCTGGTGACTGTGGAGGCCATTTGAGTACAGTGAACTCATTGTCATGTTCAAGAAACCAGTCTGAGATGATTCCAGCTTTATGACATGGCGCATTATCCTGCTGAAAGTAGCCATCAGATGTTGGGTACATTGTGGTCATAAAGGGATGGACATGGTCAGCAACAATACTCAGGTAGGCTGTGGCGTTGCAACGCTGCTCAATTGATACCAAGGGGCCCAAAGAATGCCAAGAAAAGATTTCCCACACCATGACACCACCACCACCAGCTTGAACCGTTGATACAAGGCAGGATGGATCCATGCTTTCATGTTGTTGACGCCAAATTCTGACCCTACCATCCGAATGTCGCAGCAGAAATCGAGACTCATCAGACCAGGCAACGTTTTTCCAATCTTCTCTTGTCCAATTTCGATGAGCTTGTGCAAATTGTAGCCTCAGTTTCCTGTTCTTAGCTGAAAGGAGTGGCACCCGTTGTGGTCTTCTGCTGCTGAAGCCCATCTGCCTCAAAGTTCGACGTACTGTGCGTTCAGAGATGCTCTTCTGCCTACCTTGGTTGTAACAGGTGGTTATTTGAGTCACTGTTGCCTTTCTATCAGATCGAACCAGTCTGCCCATTCTCCTCTGACCTCTGGCATCAACAAGGCATTTCCGCCCACAGGACTGCCGCTCACTGGATGTTTTTTCTTTTTCGGACCATTCTCTGTAAACCYTAGAGATGGTTGTGCGTGAAAATCCCAGTAGATCAGCAGTTTCTGAAATACTCAGACCAGCCCTTCTGGCACCAACAACCATGCCACGTTCAAAGGCACTCAAATCACCTTTCTTCCCCATACTGATGCTCGGTTTGAACTGCAGGAGATTGTCTTGACCATGTCTACATGCCTAAATGCACTGAGTTGCCGCCATGTGATTGGCTGATTAGAAATTAAGTGTTAACGAGCAGTTGGACAGGTGTACCTAATAAAGTGGCCGGAGAGTGTAGTTTTCTTTATACAGTAAACAAAATGTGTTTCTGAAGAGGTGCACTGAAAGAAAAAGTTAAATAAGATACAGGTACTCCTGGGATTATAACATACTTGTGTGATGAATTAGCATTTTTATGATCATACTGCTGTTGTCTTATTTTTAAGACAGTGAGGTAATCCTGCACGCTACAGTATGTCTGAATCATATGGAAGCAAAGTACATTATTTCCAAACCCAGCAGATGAACGTTTTCATAAAACATCTGTTTGAGTTTTAACAATGACATAGTCAACATCTTGCATTTTGTGACTCAACCAGGATGACATGTTAAGCATGTAAGCCATTAGAGCACTATGGCCAAATGAGTAGAGGGAAGATATTAGAATAGATTGTCATATAATTGGTATGAAAAAAACTTTTGTTTCATTGTACATAATAACCTAATGGTTGTGTTGGAAACATGCCAGGATAATGATGTCATTACTATATATGTTTTTCATTATGTACTAATAAAGAGATGAACTGTGACATCTAAATTGACTGGTATTAAATGGTAGCCTAGTTGCTGTGATTCTTTTTGAACACATTAAACCAGTATTCTGTCCTCTGCTGTAGTTTTGAATGTACAATCAGCCTATCCAAAAAAAAAAGTTAATTATATTGTTACCTAAGCTAGGTAAAATCCATTTGTTTAACAAACTAGAGAACAAAATCCCTCTCAGGTACTATTACTTGAATGACTTTGATGTTGCTAAACCCTTGTTTCTATCCGTTCAAATGCCTCATTTGCAGGATTTCAGCTGAGCTTTTAGTCGTGCTACTGAATATGCACAGCACTCCAAAGATGGTACTTGGTAAATTGTTATCTCACTTGAGTGGTTGTTATGTCACTCCCGGTTTTCCTTCTTTTTTTTTTTTTTTTTTTTTTTTTGACATATACAGTAGATGCTGTTGAGGAAGCTTTTATTGTCAGGAAGAAAAACGTAATTAGGAATTAAAATAGATGTTTATAGGTCCATCTGGAATTTTACTCTTTAACACAGAAGAGGGATTAGGGATTTATAGTGATGGTGGATCTCTGTCATATCAAAAAAAAAATACACAAAGAAGCAGCAGGGGGCCACAGACTGTGTACTAAGGAGCTGAGGAAGGACACCAGTGTGTTATCATGTTTACATCCACCACTGAAACACCAACAAACACCTTTTGGTTTTAGAGCAAAAAATGACAAAAAAAAAAAACATGTAAGGAAATTTAATGTGTAGAAAATGCTGTATGTTTCCAAAAAAGAGAGAACAAAGGCAAAAAAAAAAAAAAAAATCAGCAACACAAACATAAGCTCTAAACTCCTACATGGGAGGATAAAATGCTTCATTATGGAACCTGGATTCCATCTTATTCATTAAAATGAGTACACATTTTTCCAAAGCTGACACCTTCCCTCATACTTTAAAACATCTATGAGACAAATAGCAGCAAAACTTTGTATAGATTTTACGCCTGTGAATTTCAAATCCTGCTACTGAAATGAAAAATTCTCTGTCACAAATTATGCATGGAGAGAAAAGTACAAATCAACATATTTCTTTATGTGTTTATGCATGTGCAAAGACATGAACGCAACGTGTGTGTGTTACCGACGTGAACTGTAAGCACAGACCAGAATGTCACGAAAGTTTACATTAGTCAGCAGATGCAGTGGGCCACATCATTAGTCACTCTGACACCCTCTTCTGGCCTCGGCTTTATTGATGAGAAAAAGCTCAACAGCTACCCTTCTCTTAACTAACACACACGTTCAGACACACACCAACCGCTTCTAGCAACAGGAGACTGATTTTGCATCTCAGGTGGGAAGTGACAGGTACGGTGCTTAAGAATGGTCCAGGATGTGTAGCAACGCCAGCCCCTGCATGCCTTGAATATTAACAACCAGCAAAGCAGAAAATGCCCACAGTTCAATGGGTATTTGTTTATCCGTAGGCCACACAATGGATCCAAAACAAATATCTGCACAACACCAGGTCTTCTGGGCAGGTTGTGAATGGCAAGGTATGATGACAGCGTGCCAAGTGTGTCACAGCAATGAGCTCAGAGCCGTTTATGGCCTCGATGACTCTGACATTTAGCAGGATGCTRCAATTTATCAGCTTCTCTGTCTGACTCACACACAAAACAGGGGCAGTCATAAAACAAATTACCATTAGGCCTAATAGTGCTGCATCACATAACTGTTTGCTTGTGTGTATGCGTGTGTGTGTGAGAATACACAATCAAAAATAAATAAATAAATAAAACTAAACAACTTAATGCACCAAAACACTCTAAGCATCCATCCTGTGAATCTTGATCGCAGCCAATTTATGGCAGCCCAGGCTGCAGGTTAATCAGGCATTAATGGTAACATGTACKAAAAGCTTTTTAAAACTGTCTGCTAACAATAATTATCGTTGCCAGTAATCTAACGCAAATAATTGAATCCTGTGTAACAGGGAGCATTCCGATTATCTGCATCACAGAGGCTAACCTCAAAGCACTTCAAGGTCAGCAACTGGCAATTCAAAAAGAGTGAGTTAAGTAGGAGGAGTGCTCTCTGCATGCAGAGTCCGTTTCAGTTGATTCTGAAAATGTGTCTCTGCTAACCACAGGGCATGTCAGAGAGGGAGGTAATGGTATAATCTGCTTCTCCATTTCCTCACTAATGTTTTGTTTCACTAAGACACTTTCAACTTTGCATTTTTCCCCCTCCCTCTGCATTTGGACATATTCTTCTTATCTGCGATGTTTGAAGGGTAAGCAGTGGCACAGTCATTACTGGGAAAGAATATCTTGATAGCTGCTTCTCCCTGAAGAATACTGCGGAGTAAAGAAAAGAGCTCTTTCTCTGTAGTTTCGTATTATGTGCAAAGTTTGCAACAAATTTCTTGAAGAGGGTGGATCTGACTTTTGAGGCACTTGCAAGGTTTTAGGCTCAAAAATGAAAACAAAAAATCAGACATTTCAAGGTAAGTCGTAATCAAACATTTGCCCACACAACCGCAAAGAGAATTGCACACACTGTCATACCCGGCATACCATACATCGCTCTTGCATTGTGAATTGAGATCTCAAGTTGCTTTTTACAAGTTTGTGTTAAAGGAGGGGTGTGTGTGTGTGTGTTAAAAAGTGCTTTCTTTTAACAGACTCAAACAGAGCAAGGGAAAAAAARCATAAAAGAGGTGTCAGTTCTGCTCTTACCCAAGTGTTGTCATAGTAACAATGGTGTACCAGAAGGAAGCCGGGATGCTGGTGAATTTGCTGGAGCTTGAACCCTTCTCTGCGTAGAACATGACAGTAGCAAAGATAATTATGGCCATTGTAAGGGAGAAGAGCAGGAATCCCAGCTCCGAGGCACAGCTCTTCAGCGTGTAGCCCAGGATGCGCAGGCCCTGCGAGTGACGCGAGAACTTAAAGATTCGGAACACTCGGAAAACGCGAAGTGTCACGAAAGCCCCGCTCACGTCCTCGTTGTCGGTCATCACCAGGCCGATGTAGTACGGCAAGATGGCCACCACGTCAATGATGCTCATGACAGACCTCATGAATCGATAGCGGTTGGGCGCAGCGTATAGACGCATCAGGTACTCCACGGTGAAGATCATCACGCAGGCTGTGTCCATGCAGAAAAAGGCCACTGTGTAGCGCTCGCCACATGGCACCTCCTTCTGGTTGGGCACTGTACCACAGGGCACTGTCTCTACAACATTAGTGATAACAGAGACAGCAATAAAGAAGCCAGTGACATAGTAGAAGACCAGGGCCATGGTGGAAGTGTGTGGGTTCTCAAAGGCCCGCCACATGGTCTCTCTAAAGGTCATGTTGGGTAGCTTAGCATCTTTGTTGTCCTCTTGGTCATCCATGAGGCGCTCCGCGTTCTCCCTCTTCCTGTCCTTGTACTCTTCATAGCAGCAGTCTCCAATGATCTCTGGTACGATACCAAAAAAGGCCAGCTCTTCATCGTAAGAGGAGATGCACTCGTAGCGTGGATAGTGGAGCTTGCCCGTGCGGTAGAAGTTGAGCACGCTGCGAAACACATCGGGGTCACGGTCAAAGAAGTACTCTTTGGTGTCTTCGTTGTAGAAGAACTCCTTCTCCGAGCTGCCGAGCAGCGTGTCTGGATAACGGTCCAGCGTGTTCCTCCAGGTCTGGAAGCGCCGTCCACTGACGTTGAGAACTATGAGCTCATCCTGTCTCTTGTTCTTTTCAGCGGGCGCTACAGGCATGGGCAAGTTGGCCACGGGCATCCAGCCGATGGCGGCTGCCCGCGCAAACGGAAGCCATGCCGCTACTCCCGCCGCCATGCTGTGTCCGGCTTGGGGCGTAGGGGGGAACAAGTCCAGCACCTTCACAACCAGCTTGACTTCAGCTCCTTCACCATCTGAAGCAAAGCAAACAGAGAGTGAGATCCGTTAGGAGAAAACAGAACAGAACAGACACCTGAGCATAAAGGATGTACAAAAAGTAACAAGAGTACTGAAAGGGAGTAATACAAAACAACAAACCAAAACATTTATTCTATAAAAGACAGGCTAGACATTTACTGGTATTTAAACATGCAAAATGACCTAAATAGGAGAACATTATCCTAGAAAATATTGGTGTGTATAAAACTGTTATTATTGAGACATGTTATAGCCTACATCACAATTCACCTCACCTCTCTGGCACTGCTTTAAGTTAGGTGTCAAAATAAAAGCAAATGAAGCCAAAATATAAAATCTGGCTAAACTGATTTTCCTGTACCGATTTAAAACTTTGGTTTTCTTGATGATTTTCTTTGAAAGACTATAGAAGATCCAAACCTGTTGAGCTCCAAGAAAAAAATAAAAAACATGAAATAAAAAAGCAAATTAAAAAAGAAATATGAGAGACGGGGGAACAGCATACACTTTCTTCCAGAGTAAGTTAAGTTCACAATGCTTGAGTTGAACTACATTAGCCCAGTCCTTGGATTAGATCTAGATGACAAACTGACTGCTGAGGCTTGAAGGAGCGAGAAGCGACACGGAACAGGTTGAGAACAGCTGCTGGAGGCTCCGTCATGGTGTCGATGTTAAAACACTCACCCGTTAAAAAGTCTTCATCCAGAGGTACACGACCGTCTCCCAGAACTCTTTACTTACAACCAGGCGGTTTGCTGTCTGTTTCTGAAATCGTGTCTGAAGAGAAAAGAGAGAGAGAAAGACAGAGAAAAAAAAATCTAAAGAAATACCGGAAAAGAAGTTATCCAGCGAAGAGAGAGGAGGAGATCAGACGGAGCTGAAGTGAAAAGCAGCAAAGTACCGGTGACCGACGTACCACAGGTGGCTTAATTCACTTTCCATAATGCGAGGGGAGAGATGAGGAGCGGACTCCGCCGTGAGAACAGAATTACCTTGGCTTTTCGGGATGAGCGCTGAGAGGAGACGGAGGAGGAGGAGGAGGAGGAGGAGGAGGAGCGCTCTTCCTCTCTCGCCTCATCCCTCCCTCTCTTTCTCTCTGCGCAGGGTGGATGGGGAACTGAACATCAGCTGGATCTGGATTTAAAACGATGCACCGATAAGGAGGAAAAAAGACTAGAAGCTACGTGGCTTTTTAAAAATAATTAAGTTGTTCAATTTTGCTTTCAATGATTGCGATAGTTTTTTTTAAATGGCATCAACTGAGTTTTTCACCTAATCCCAGCAGGGGCATATTCAGACAACTTGAACAGGATTAGCAAACATAAGCATGAAGCACAACATCAAGC